CCCTGCCTCTTCCTCAGCAACCCCACGCGGGACACCATCACGCCGCTGTGGGCCGCTGCGGGTCGCGGGCCACGCCCGGGCCGCGCCTGCTCTGCCGCCTGCTCGGAAGAGGAGGACGAGGATGAGGACGAAGAGGACGAGGAGGCCGAGGACGGCGAGGAGGCGGAGGGCAAGGCAGGGCCGCGCGGGGGCGCCCCGGCGCCGCTGGACGCCTCGCTGGTCTACGACGCGGTCAAGTACACGCTGGTGGTGGACGAGCACACGCAGCTGGAGCTCGTGAGCCTGCGGCGGTGCGGCCTGGGCTCCGACAGCGAGGACAGCGGCGGCGAGGCCAGCGAGGAGGAGCCGGGCGCCCCGCCGCTGGGCGGAGGCCAGGCCCCGCAGGACGCCTCCCCCGACAGTCCCGACCTCACCTTTTCCAAGAAGTTCCTCAACGTCTTTGTGAACAGCACCTCCCGGTCCTCCAGTGAGTGGCTGGGGCGGGCGGCGGCGGCCTGCAACCCGCCCGGCCTCTTCCCCGTCAGGCGTCGGGGCTGGGCACTGCCTCTTGCCCTGCTCTGCACCTCTCCTGGGTCTAGGGCGGGGGCTGTGCTGCCTGCCGCCCCGGCCGTGGACAGCCCCGCAGATGGGTTGGCGGCGGGGCTGGCTCCAGGCCCCCGCGCCCCTGAGTCCTTCCCCTCGCTGTGTCCCAGGCACTGAGTCCTTTGGCCTTTTCTCCTGCCTGGTCAATGGTGAGGAGCGAGAACAAACCCACCGGGCTGTGTTCAGGTACATCCCCCGCCCCCACCCTCCGCCCCCTCAGGTCCCCTGCTCCCCTAGGCCCCAGGCTCCCTCCCAGGCGCTGCCCCACCTCAGGCTCCCCCCAGGTTCATCCCCCGCCATCCCGACGAGCTGGAGCTGGATGTGGACGACCCGGTGCTGGTGGAGGCCGAGGAGGACGACTTCTGGTTCCGGGGCTTCAACATGCGCACGGGGGAGCGCGGGGTCTTCCCCGCCTTCTACGCCCACGCGGTGCCCGGCCCCGCCAAGGACCTGCTGGGTGAGGCCCCGCCCCGGGGAGCTGGCTGCCCCGCCCCCCGCCCTCTGACCTGCCCCGTGTGGCCCCCAGGGAGCAAGCGTGGGCCCTGCTGGGTGGAGCGGTTCGACGTGCAGTTCCTGGGCTCGGTGGAGGTGCCCTGTCACCAGGGCAATGGCATCCTGTGTGCGGCCATGCAGAAGGTCAGTGGGGCGGCGGGGCTGCTGGCCACGCTCCTTGGGTGCCTGGGGCTTCGCGGGCCCACAGCCTGGGCAGAGCCTGGCACTGACTGCGTCGCCTCGGGGTCTCCTGTCACCTTCCCACTGGCCCCCGGCCCACAGCCCACCCAGGCACAATCTGACGCCAGAGCTCTCACCGTCCTTCCCTGGGCTCCTGCGCCGGGCGGTGGAGGGCGGCCAGCCCACGGGCCTGACTGGCCGAGGGAGGCGGTGGCGGCCAGCGCCGGGGCCCGGGCGGGGGAGGCCCACATCCCTGTCCCGGGTCGCGTTGGGCTGTGGCCAGTGTTCTGTCAGGGCAGGGGTGAGACCCTGAGCCCTCCTCTCCCCTCTCCCCAGATCGCCACTGCCCGGAAGCTGACTGTCCACCTGCGTCCTCCTGCCTCCTGTGACCTAGAGATTTCCCTTCGGGGGGTAAAGCTGAGTCTGAGTGGAGGACCTGAGGTGGGGACCCTGACCCAGGGCGGGAATGGACTGGGCCGGCGGGAAGCCGCGTCTCATGCGCCTTCCGCTCTAGTTTCAGCACTGCAGCCACTTCTTCCAGATGAAGAACATCTCCTTCTGCGGCTGCCACCCCCGCAACAGCTGGTGAGCCCTGGCCCTGGCCGCCCCTGGCCCGCCCGGACCCTGGCCCCCCTGCCCCCCACCCGCTGGAGTTGAGGGCGCCCAGGGTCCCCCCTTCGCTGCCCCCCACCCCTGCCCCTGGGGCCCGGTCAAGCGCCGGGCCCAGCCTGGGGTGGGAGGGGTGGGGG